ACAAAAAAATGAAACAGATGTGGGAACATGAATCGGCTGACAGCCTTACCAGTGTCATAGAGTTCACCCAATACTTTAAACAGGCACCTCTATTTCAGTCCATTCGAGACAGCCTTAACGATATGGATCCTGGCACTGATGAATCTATCATCAAAAACAAGATAACCCGTTTCATGAAAACCATCATGAAGGACATTCTAACTCGCATAGATATGCCTGAAGCTGAAAGCGACACTGAATCTATCATACCTGCTGACGATGGTAGTGACGAAGATGCTGCTGCTGCTGCTGATGATGATGATGATGAGAGTGAGAAATGATAAAACATGGCGAGGGAATATACAAACCTTGTCTGGTGTTCCAACCCTTCAGTCGATATTTTGTACCAATGTAAAGGAAGGAGGATATGGACTTATTCATATATTAATAACGACCTCTCACGAAGTCAAAACAGATTTATCTAAATGACACCAACAGCTTGTCATCAAAAGAAACAGATGGTCCTATACATCAGGGAGACCAGCCAAGTTTGGGATCTCCAGGGGCGCAGATCTCTTTCTGTACCATAAATGTCACGTAAAGATGTCCTTCTCCATCCTATTGCTGTCATTTCAAGATGAAACACATTAAACTTTTTAACATCATTGAACCGTTAAGATTCCTATTTTTTTGTTTGTCAATGACACAGAAAGTACCCAAGTCTTACACTTGTAACCTTGTGACCTTATGTTTTGCTAATAAAAGAAGGGTCTATCACAATTTTTGTTTTGTTTTGTTGGTATTTTTTTTCTTCAATCTCAGATCAATGTTGAGCGAGTTAGTTTAGTATTACACCTTACTAAGCAATATTCAAGCCATATGGCAGCGGTCTGTAAATAATCGAGTCTGGACCAGGCAATCCAATGATCAACAGCATGAGCACAAATTGGGATCTGCGCACATGGGAACTGATGACATGTGTCAACCAAACCAGCGAGCCTGACCACCCGATCCCTGATTCCGTTAGTCGACTATCACAGAATTCAATAGTGTACTCCACATCATGAATATGCTTCTGGAAAACAATTATTGTTATGCTTCTACAAATCGATCACAACAATTTGCTAGTGTTTTTTTCACATCATACATTCACAACACAAAGGCTGACATATGTACACATATAATATGACATATTCTAATGATATTTTAACACAATGTAATGTATATCTTTGGATTTCATATGAAAATAATTACACACACACACACACACACACACACACACAAAATAAATGAACGGGCTCAACAAAATGAACTTGTTCCCACCTTCTCGGTTTGTTTGTTTGGTTTTTTTTAGATGAGGCAGGGTTTGAAGGCTCTGGGGGTCAATCATTATTGTGATTTACCTCTTAATGAGGCATGTATCACCTCTCCCTCGACATACCATAAACAAACACAGAACAAGGTTCTATCATTTCCATATGTTTACATGTTATGAGGGAAAGATTACTTCATTAGTGTCCATTTATGATGTAAATATTAAATGTACTTAGCATTATGCGGGTGACGGAAATGTTATGATTCCCACTTGACTTCATTGTAACGCACAGAGGACAGGTTTCTGCCTAAAGGTCCTCACACTCATGCTGGACGTCTTATAGCGAGGGAAGGGGGTCACATATGGAAAACGTTATTGGAAGTGCCTGTAAACACAATGCTCACATGGTGACACAGACTACTAACTAACTATATTTATTAAATTGATATCAAAGGTTTTTAACATGAGCAGCTCAGGTAATATATCAAAATATTAAACCTGCTGTGACAAATATTTTAAAACATTTTCGTCCACTCCAGAACTTGAAGCCAGCCTGCTCCTATTTCTCCCGTTCACACTCATGTCTATTTATTTAGAAAACAAATTCTGTCCCCCTCTCCACGCTCAAGACATTCATTCCATTGACGGTGACTCATAAAACACTGCCGCCCTAGTTGTTGTAGAAATACCATATATGGTTGTCGTTACTATGTCTCGTTTTGGTTAATTTAACAATCACACAGTGAATGGCTTCATTGCAACTAATTAAGTCATTGTGTTTTAACCTTAGATGACCTATGACATCATCCATATCATTGCATATCAATAATACGAGAGCTAATTAAGTGCATCTGACTGTGTACACAGATGGTTCCATGAACGAGAGGGGAACCATAATGTTTAAACGAACCAATCAGCATTCAGCACGCACGTTTTCGAAAATAGGTTTATGAGCGCGCGCAGTTTCCATAAATGGGAATGGCACTACGCTAACTACTATGCATTGTTTTCCGTTATTGAAGGCATGGTCCCCTTAATTGCATAAGTGCATAAAGGTTAATCACTTGTGACCTCACTTTGTTTACCTGTGACGTCATGCATATATTTGCATATTAATGAGTTATTCTGCATTTTTAATCATGCATAATGATGACGTCAGAGAGCCCTCGATGGTCACGTGGCTTGGTGACGTCATAGAGCCTATTTAAGGATGACGTTTTGAGGTTTGAGCCTCAAATGAGGTTCCGAATGATATAAATTTATACTACTTACATTTCTCTCACCGCGAGAGTGCCCCCAAATCAGCTGAGCGCAGCTGATGCGATCCTGATTCCTTGCTACCACCAACGAAACACACGAAAGTTGCAAGTAACCCACTGAGGCAACGGTGGGATACGAACACACAATGCATAGCCGCGAGAACTACACATCATAAGTCAGCACCTCAACCGATTACGCTACCGGGGACTTCTAAGATACATGTCAGTTTAACGGGTCTATCCTAACAGACAGACCCCATGCTCACTCAAAAACCGATATCTCTTAAACTATCCGGCCGATTTTCGTGACATTTTGCATGCACCACAGCAGGAGTATAGGGAATGGTGGGTGAATTGAGCCCTTTGGAAGGGCCTGGTCCCGTACCACCATTCCCTATACTGCTGATGTCCTATCCCATAATTAACATAATTAACTATTAACTATTAGATTAGAGTTCCTTTGCTGGACAGGAACATGTAAAATTTTCACTGTTAAAACACACCTTAACATGATTCATTTGAAAACATTGTTCAAACTGTGAAAGAATTGTTATACAGAGAATGTATTTGAGAGTTTATGTCTTCCCAGGTATCATTAAGATGCGATATAAAATATCTAAAACCTGGCGAAAGGATAATGAATGGATGCATAACGTCGAATCTCGGTGAAGAGACACCCTGATTGTGAGGAACAATTGTAAAAATGATATTAAGTGATCATATTTTGCGCAACAATAATAATAATAAGTCCACGCAGTCGTGCTGTAAACGAAATACAATACAGCAAATTGTCAATATCTAATATATAATTTTGTCTTGATATTCCCAAATTCAATCGATGTGATATTTGATCATATTGAACTGTTAGTCAACGCTTACCAAAAAGATTCTTTGTACATAAATATGGCAAACTTAAGGAAAGGTTGATACATTGATCCATGGAGCTTGTGTTACTGTACTTGGTGCCAACAGTTACATATCTTTGGGGGCGTAGGTAGCCTCGAGGTTCAAGCGTTCGCTCGTCACGCCGAATTCCCGGGTTCGATTCCCCATATGGGTACAATGTGTAAAGTCTCTTTCTGATGTTGCTGGAATATTGCTAAAAGTGGCGTAAAACTAAACTCACTCACATATCTTCTTCAGAGGTACTGGGCAGTTTGTGAAAGGTTAAGGAGAGGAAATGCCATGTATTGTTTATTGAGAAAATGGTATGAAATGTTTGACGTCCTTATTGATAACAAATGTGTTACATTTGGGGATAAACATTCAGATAATATGTAGGTATCGCTGTGCGCACCGAATAAGCTCCCCTCCTGGTTCTTTTTCTGTATTCATGTGAACAGACATTTGCTCTGATTGCAAAGTCAATTCTACTTACAACACCTGTTCGAACGAGTGAGTGAGTATGGTTTTACCCTACTTTTGGCAATGTAGCAGCAATATCACCAGAAATGCGCTTCACACATTGTACCCTTGAGGGTAAGTGAACCAGGGCCTTCGGCGTGACGGGCGAACGCTTTAAACACTAGACTACCCCACCGCCCGACAACTGTTCGACAATTGGCGAGTGAATGAGCTTAATTTCAGACTGCTTTGAATAGTATTGCAGTTAAATGCATATCAATGTGTCGCATTAATATGGGATGAAAAACAGAGGAAAAATATTTGTTCTGTCGATACCTTGGGAGCGAGATAACATTTAAACAGCAATAGGTGTCAGGTATCGATTTATGTTGTTCCAGCATCATGCATTGTTTCCATGCAATGAAAACATACTTGCAACTTTACTTCACTTTTTACTGTTTATGTAATCATGGTTTATCGATTTGAACTTGAGCTAAAGTGTGTGGTTCATAGTCACAGTTGATAGACAGAAACACGTATTAGTGTCATTACAGTTGTGAAGATCTTTAACAAATATGGCGCTGGTAGTGAAGTGAGAGCTGGAGTTATAAATCTCAACACCAATTTAGATCCAGAAGAATGCCTTTGCAGGATGTACATGTGGCTCATGAATGTTATGCTAATTGTGATAGATGTACCCATCCATGTAGACTAACAGCTGTTCGATTGCCCATATGAGTACAATGTATGAAGCCCATTTCTCGTGTCCCCCGTCGTGATATTGCTGGAATATTGCTAAAAGCGGCGTAAAACCAAACTTACTCACTCACTCACTAACAGCTAGTCTCTGGAATGGAATCATTTTACAGAAAAAATGTTTTAAACTAAAATACGATAAGATAAAAAGGAGCCCAGAGACTTTCTTCATTTTCAGCTTGAAGCTGTGGTAGTCTAGCCACATATTCTAGACTTGCCACATATTCTAGACTTGCCACATATTCTAGACTTGCATGGGTTGCATTGGGTATATTTGTTTCAGGGTCTGAATGACAGACTATCCATGTCGTCCACGAATGAATGCCTTATGGTGCAACTATTTTCAATGAACGGCGGTTGGTCCGCGTGGTCAGTGACATCAGCTGGTGCATGTACATTGACATGTGGGAGTGGTCAGCAAACAGTCTCTAGGGTCAGGACCTGCAGTGTCCCGACCCCAGGCCACGGTGGAGCTCCCTGTCCCGGGGCGTCAACAGACACTCAGACACAGACATGTAACATTGTGCCTTGTGCAGGTAGGACAAATGAGCATAATTGTGAGTTAATATTATCGTCACATCGGCAATATTTCAGCCATATCGTGACGAGGACAATTAACTATCATATTTAAGATCAATAAAATTAAGATTAAAAAAACTGTTGACGATGAACAGTAAAACTACTAGTGTATCACAGATAGAGATGTAAAACTATCTTAAAACTTATACTATAATACAAGACAATAAAAAATAAAACACGGGATATAGATAACCAAGAACTGAAGGTAGATCACCATACTAGAGACCATGGGGACTTACAGTATTTTTGCTCCCTGCATGGACCCGAGCCGGATTTACATCATTCCTTCAGACGTTGGTGATTGTAGGTATATTTAGCCATAACTTAATATATAATAAATGCTACTTTTTAAAATATTCTGTAAGCCTAATTTATCTTGAATGTTTTGGGACTTACGTAGCTAAGCATTATTGTAAAGCATTCAGTTGATTCTTTAGACTCTACATATTCCCTGAGGAGGGGTTCATTGCTTTAAACCGGCTCTGTAAATATATCAGCATGGGTTAAATGTGACATATGTTATATTTGGAATTATGATTTCTCAGTATAAAGTATAAATTATTGTATTTGGGGGTTGAGTCCTATCCGAGACAACCTCAAAGTTAGGCACCTAATCGTCAGCACACAAAGTCAGGGATCTAACCAACTCAGCCATCGCATTTAATCGTGGTTTTGGTTTGTGGTATGAAACTTCTTTTCGTGTAATTAAGGGTGCATTTTATAAATGAAAATTTGTAGTAATATTTGTTCTTCTGTTCTTCTGGCCTTCCACTTAACTTGACTGGCTGCTTGTAAGGTTGGTTCACAGGTTGGTTGGTAATACGTCGTCGTTCAACTTTGACAAGTTCTAAACGTTTCTACAAACTGAAAAACTATCAACATTATTTCTCGGAAACGTTTTTCTATTCAGTTGACGGCGTCTGGGCGACATGGACCGTGGCGTCCACTGGACCTTGCTCACAGACCTGTGGGGGAGGGCAACAGTCACTCAGTCGGACCAGGACATGTACCAACCCTTCCCCTGCTAATGGCGGTTCAACTTGCCCAGGCTCATCCACAGATAATCCTAGTCAATCCTGCAACACCACACCCTGTCCAGGTGAGATATAACAGTAAACATTGTACAAAGTGTACTTGTGTTAATCATTATATTCGTTTTGTACTGTAGTCAAGTTGACAAGTTGAGTCGACTGTATCCGTGTATGAGAAACTGTCCTTTATGTGATCGAGGTATACAGGAAGAACGAATATTATCTTTAATGTATATCAAAAATATGTATATTTAAAGAATATTACTTTTCTATATATGCGGTACTTTGTTGTCATGGCAACTGCCACGATTGTAACACAATACTTTATAAGCCTATAACTGTATTTGGGCAAATTGACAAGTTGGGTCAACTGAATACGTGTATGAGAAACTGTCCTTAATGTGCTAATTGTAAAAAGTTTACTTTAGATCTGCGAATCTGGTTCGAATGTAACTCGACAGGATGGTACATGAAAGCTATTAAGGTTTTAGGGCCCGTGGGATAGCCTACTGGTTAAAGCGTTCGTGCGTCACGCCAAAGACCGGGGTTCAATTACCCATTGGTAAATTGTGTGAAGCCCATGTCTGGTGTCCCCCGCCGTGGTATTGCTGGAATATTGGTAAACGCTGCGTAAAACTAAACTCAGTCACTAATGAGGGTTTACTGGACATCCTGCTCCGTCAGAACTCTTCTGTCACTTCTCGTACAAACCTATTCCGTGGTTTCGTATTATTATTTAATAGGTGTTTATTGACAACTACCCACAGAAACACCATACGCCTATGCATCAATAACGCCTATTCAAACCTTTGAATTATAGATCACTGTCTTTAGTTTGACACTCCCATTTATCCTCATTTAGGTAATCGAACGGAGAATCCTGTCACGCAAAACGTCGTAACTATGTACATGTTACCAGTGGAAAATAACCACCCAATTTGGGTCAAAATTTGAAAAGGAAATTTGACTGTTTAAAGTCTAATTATGATGAATACTGTGGAAAAATATTTGGATTGTAATTGATATCAATCGAATATCAAAAGTATGTAGTGCACATGAATTAGTTACGTGGAATTCTATGATTGTGTTGTTGCTAAATGCTCCTACACTCAAATACTCGTTACAAATACATATACCCTTGAAGAATGGTTACACAGCACTCAAAACAATGAACTTGTATCTACATAAGGGGATACGATGACATGTGTCAACCAAGTCAGTGAGCCTGACCACCCGATCCCGTTAGTCGCCTCTTACGACAAGCTTGGGTTGCTGAAGATCAATTCTAACCCGGATCTTTACGGGTGCAGCCTTTTTTATCACCTGAGTGTACAGACTGCAGGAGCAGCATGTGCCAGAGCCCAGGATGTACCTGCTGGCAGCCAACTCATTTGTATGGCAAGCCGTTAGGGACAAAATTGTGAATTGTGCCAGGGGTGCTGTGCTATACATTGTATGAACAATTCAACCTGTGACATTTATACCAATTGACCGGAAGTATTCATCTGGAATGATTAGCCGATTTATTTGTCCAATATATACAGGGCATGGTATCGACTTTGGGAAACTGTGCCACGGTGTATTAAGTCCATCTACAGACAAACAGTTGTTTTCTGTGCATCACTGAATGAGTGAGTAAGTTTGCTTTACTACTCACTCAGCAATATTCCAACTATGTGGCGGCAGTCTGTAAATACTCGAGTCTGGACAAGACAATCCAGTGATGAACAACATGAGCATCGATCTACGCAGTTGGGTTACGATGACATGTGTCAACCAAGACAGCGAGCCTGACCAACCGGTCCGGTTGGTCGCCTCTTACGACAAGCATGGGTTACTGAAGATCAGTTATAACCCAGATCTTCACGGGTCTGCATCACTGAGCATCATGGAAACTGACCGGAAACGTCCATCATAAACAGATGCTTCTAAATGATTGAGGATTAAATTTGTGACACATTTATAGATTAACCACATTTACGGATCATATGTCACGAGCGCCTTTCTTCCGTGTCGGTGTCGAGAGACTTAAAGCATTCACCATAGGTTAAGGCATATGTTAATCCCGAGTTTTCTGTAGGTTATTCGATACATTATTTATTGATATTAATGGAAATTAAGAAACAACACATGAAATGTTACCCTAAAGAGAAAGCCACTGTTTAAGGGACGTAATCAATTTGTGACATAGTCGCGAGCCATACAGAATTGTTATTGATGTTTTATGTGAACCCGTGTATTTTGTAATAGGAAATGAAAGGTGTATCGTTGTCATTTCCACATTGTCATTCGAAAATCGAAAAATCAAAAGGTGTCACGTTTGTTCTGCCCGTTAAGTTGTAAGCATTGAGTGCTAGTTCCATTCACAGATACCTTCAACTATCATTGGTTTGTGAGCAGCAATAACAACAAAGGCCATAAAATAACACAATCATTTCGGGCTGTTGGGTAGCCTAATGGTTAAAGCGTCCGCTTCTCACGCTGAAGGCCCGGGTTCAATTCCCCACATGGGTATAATGTGCAAACCGGAACTTGAGTCTCATGAACCAATTCAGACAATTACCTACTTTTCAGCCGATCCGAATTTTCTCGTGTGAAAATGAAATGAGACACTACAAACAACTAGGGTTACACAAAATTTCCATTCTTTGTTCCATAAGAAAATGGTATTTACAAATGAATTTTAATTTTAAACTTAAAAACAATCATATTTCTATATTTTATGGAGAGGTTTGATGAGGTTGTAAAATGATACACAATTCATCTGGCTTGATGGTTACATATGTTATGTGTTCTTTCCGCTTATCCAATGTATTTTTGTAACGTACAATATGTGAGTGATATAACATCAGGGCCGAAAAAGACCGCCAAACCTTTTTTGCGGCCTCGTTTTGAAATTTCTACGATTTCCAGATTTCCGATTGTCAAAGCACGTAGTGTTGCAATATACAAGTGATTAGATATATCAAATTATACTGATTAATATTTATATATCCAGTTGAATGAGTTGGTCTTAGAATTCTGGACTGGTTATTGTACTAAGTTGCGCAATAAGACGGAACCCAGTCAGCATGAAACGAGACTGTTGTGTGATCAATGTTTTGAAACCCATTTCTGGTGTCCCCCGCCGTGATATTGCTGGAATGTTGCCAAAATGGCATAAAACCATACCCACTCACTCACACAATCTCTTCATTCATGCAGTTGATGGCGGTTGGTCCAGCTGGACAACTTTCCTTGAGGAAATCTGTTCTCTGAGCTGTGGGGGAGGGACAAAAAAACCAGACACGAGGCCAGAGCCTGTGCCAACCCTGCCCCATCTAACATGGGGGCCACCTGTAGCGGATCACCCACCAGAGCTACAGAACTGTCATGTAATACTGCAGTGTGTCCAGGTACGAGTCCACATTTGACTATTTAACTACAAATTGTTTTTTGAAAACCAACTCTGTTTAGGTAGGAAACGTTGTATTGGTGGATTTCAATATTTTGACATAGATATTCAAACATTAAATTAGGCACAAATTATTTACAGAGTTTACAATAGAGGAACATCTTTTTAACTCAGGATTGTTGCTGACGTTTCGAAATGTACTGTTTATGCCAACACGGTCGACATCAAACTCATCTATGTACCTTCTTCAATTCAAGTGACATGTCCAACAAGCAGTGGCTACATACATGACGCTTCTGTCAACGTATGTTACAAGATCTCATCGATTACTCGAAACTGGAACGATGCTCGTTCCTACTGTCAAGCTGAAGGAGGGGGATCTCATAGCCCTTCAGACAAGCGCCAAGGAAACGTTTATTCGCCAGGCGATATTTGGTAATAACACCTTTTCTGCATTATTTGATTTTTTTCAGCTTGGTTGATAGTTATTGGGTAATAACACCTTTTCTGCATAATTTGATTTCTTTCAGCTTGGTCGAGGTCTTAAGCAACTCCGTGCTTGCTGAAAGAGGCGATCGGTAGTCATTCCAGCTGACATGGTTGACACATGTCGTGGTATCCTAAGAGCATAGGTCGATGTTTATGATAGCAATCACAGAATTGGTTAAATATCCGGTTTAGGATTGGTCTCCAGGAACCCATGGTTGTCGTGAGAGGCCAGTAACAGGATCAGGTTGTCATTCTAGCTGACTTGGATGACACATGTCAACGTATCCTAGCTGTGTGGATCCAAGCTCATTTTGTTGATCACTGGGTTGTCTTGTCCAGTTTCGATAATATACAAACCGTCGGCATCCAACTGTACGATTTTTGTCTGCATCTCTAAAAGACAAAGTACAGCAAGATAAGCCTACAGCGTTACATGTGCAAAACGAAAATATTTTTGAACGTATCTTTGAAAATACATCAGTAGAATCTCTGCACTTGTCCAAGTTTTGATGTTCAACACAAGCACTAAATGTGATGGGCGGTAGCCCAGTGGTTAAAGCGTTCGCTCGTCACGCCGACATTTCTATGTCCCCCGCTGTGTTGTTGCTGGAATATTGCAAAAAGTGTCGTAAAACTATACTCACTCACTTATACGAAAACGTGTCAGTGGATTATATTGCCCATCACATGGTTGCCTGGTCACTACTCGATTGTTACCAGGACGTCGTCGCGTATCAGGAATGCTTCTGAGCAGTTTTTGGAATAAAACTTTTTTGTAATGCAAATTATGTTTTCAGCAACTGACTGATACCATTATTTTCATTTACAGGCCCAATGCAATTTGTTTTGGCGGGTAACCGAAAGTTTGATTGCTTGTTGTATAGGGCCGCACACAGCAATATTCCAGCTATAAATGACGCTGGTCTACATGTAAATAATCGAGTCTGGACAGACAATCCGGTGATTGACATAATGAGCATCGAATTATCTGGCGTTGACGTTTTATACGTATTTGAACAATTTGTATTCAGAAACGCCATACACAGTAAAGTGAGTTTTTAATCATTGGTTAAGCTTATCAATGGTTAATCATATGGGTTTTCTTCGTGATAATGGATTTTTTCTTGATTGGCACAACTCACGTGCTGGTTTAATTCTGTCCCTCGAAGCATAAGCTGCAAGCTGTATCGCAAACATCTGATTGGGGACGCACTGTGCGAAATAGTTTCCGGTCGGGCTAGCTATGCCTGAAATTTTCTAGCCCACAAAATAATTCACTAGCCCGAAATTTGAATGTAGAAACTAAGCAAAAGAGTACAGAAATAGATGAGTATAAGATATTGTCGGCATGATACGGGTTTCGTCATTAAGCCGCTAATATGATGAACATTTTTATCAGGCCATAATCTTGCATGATTTAAAAGTGTATTATAACTTAAAAAGTCGGAGAGAGTGATATATTTACAAAGTGACCCCATGAAATTCACTAGCCAGTTGGACCAGTGACTGTGGCCCGACTGGATTTTTACAAGCCACGGGCTAGCGGGCCAGAAAAGCTTGGAAAACGCTCGTAAAATCTCCAAAGTACGTCCGGAAGATCGTCCAAAACACAATCAGTTGGGCACTGAGCTGTTACGTAAACAAACGCATGTGTCTGTATATCGCACTGTTCGTGATCCTATCCTTATTGAAAACTTTAAATTAGGCAACACAATTCCGTTCTATGTCATGTCAATATGACTATATACATTTTCATGATTTTTTAACTATCACATAATGTCATGACTGATTAAATTACTCCAGTTACTTTTATCAAAGTACCTCCATCCTTACGTGTTTTCTGATTGGTTCGTCGTATTATCGCTCATATCATTTATCGACAAGGGGCCCGTTTCACAAAGCGGTCGTGACACTACGACTGTCGTAATTCTATGTTAATGTATGGGAGTTACGATCACCTTGGTGCTACGATCGCTTTGTGAAATGGGGCCAAGGAGTCTACTTAAAGGTTAAGGAAAGAACGAGTGTTGACGAATGAGTATACCCTATGTGAGGAATTCTAAGATCTGGTCACACTTGCCACAATTACAAATCGTTGGAATCATACTTTACACTTGTCTTCTACACCTTCCAGCATTGAAGAGTGAGAGGGTGAGTGAGTTGGGTTTACGCCGCTTTTAGTAATATTCCAGCAACATCACGGCGGAGGACACAAGAAATGGGCTTCACACATTGTACTCATGTGGGAATCGAACCCGGATCTTCGGCGTGACGAGTGAACGCTTTAACCACTAGGCTACCCTACTGCCCCCTAACATTCAAGAGGAGAGACCAGACGATGACAGATATGTCTGCAAATTATTGTTTTACTACGTTTGGTTATTATTTTAGTGCATTGAGGTTACGGCCGACACATTTGGTTTTCCTGGTTCTGATGCCAGTCTGGTTATAATAATGATAATAATACGGGCATTTGTAATGCGCTGAATTCCACACAACGGAGGAGCACGATCAAAGCGCAACAATGTGATTATTATTACTCTTGATAACCCAAGCTCCCTGTGAGGCGCTAGAAGGTTAATAGTCGCATGACTTATCACACCGGGTAGGGTACCTATTTTCTGGTGGGTGAACAGAGGCAATTTTGAACAAACCCACTTGCCAAATGTGAGAGCAGATGTATCACATATGCTTCGTTGTGGAGCAGGACTGAAAGCCTAGAAACTCGCAGGAGTCAAGCTGCGAAACACGGTCACCCATCCAGCGACTCTCCGCGCCCAACGTTGCTTAACTTCCACTGATTTACGCACAGGACCACAGCGCCACGACATTAATCGTCCTGGGCAAATGGTGGCGTTATAAACAGGGTACAATGTAATGTTTTATAAATAAAACAAAAAGCAATAAATCCCTTCCACAATCATCAGAAATATTCTGACAATCACATCATTAAACTGTTCATACACTGATATTCTCTCAAACCTGAATCCTTTGTAGGATTCTTGCCTTGTCAACCATCACAAATACACGCAAAAGCAAATCAAGTGCACACCTAAACATAGACGAATGCCCGTGCTGATGGTTTCAGCAGTGTGGAGGTCGTTTTCGTCCTGTATCATTTTGAGCTTGTCATACTTCATGACCTTATTCGACGTTTTCGACGCCTTTTAATACAACTCATCCATGTATTTGTTTGTAGATATCATCGGAACTTCTGACGTAGGCTACTTCATCGAGGACAGCAAACAGCAACTCCTGGCTCGTGGAAGTGGGTAGATAGAACTTCAATCTCTGGCTTTTCAATGTCTGATTCCACTAAAATGTGCTTGGAAATCGACAAAAACATCTTGGATGACGACGTTTGTAATTACGTACAACGGTTTGTGTGTGAAATCGTCCTGACGTAAGTGGAAACAAATGGCTGTAATGTACACCTAGCCCCTTCTAAATAGAGGAAGAAAACAACACTTTCCTTAATCAATACAAATCTCTGTTGCTTGTAATGGCGCTGAGTCCACTGTACGATTCCGATAATGTCAAAGGCACGTTTTTATAACACCAATTATTGGGGACCCTGATTTTCACCAAAAAAACCATGCAAAGTCACGGCGTCAATACTGTCCTGAATTGCATAGATCGATGTTGATGCTGTTGATCACTGGATTGTCTGGTCCGGACTCGATTATTTGCATACCGCCACCATAAAGCTGGAATATTGCTGAGTGAGCATTAAACAACAACCAACCAACCAACCAACCAATATCGTCCTTAACTAAAATGCGAGGAATCATGTGGGACAAGTAACAATGGTTGCCTGAACAGGACAAAACCCTGATTGAACTACATTTGAATAAAATTAAATTAACATTCTGTTTCTGGGCCAATAAACAGATATGTTTGAACAGTGCATGTACTGTTCGTGGCCTGGTCTGTCTGAATGCAACCGTATACCTCCAGATCGTTTGTGAGTAATTGAGTGAGTTTAGTTTTACGCCGCACTCAGATATATTCCAGCTACATGGCGGCCATCTGTAAATAATTGAGTCTGGACCAGACATTCCAGTGCTCAACAGCATGAGCATCGATCTGCGTAATTGGGAACCGATGACGTGTGTCAACCAAGCCAGCGAGCCTTACCACCCGATCCCGTTAGTCGCCTCTTACGACAAGCATTGGGTTACTGAAGGTTCATTCTAACCCGGGTTGTCACGGTAGATCGTTTGTGCAGAGGCGTACCACAACGTATGATAATGCACTGTACATACGAGGACAATGTTTCAATATTGAGGCATCAATCTCCAGTGATATAATAGACTCACATATTGTTTGAAAAACCTCTATATCATTACTATGAATAATAGATAGTATACGCCTGGATGCATTACAAAACACACAAAGACGTAATACACTGATATTATGGTTCATCGTTGGTCTCTCTGGAACTTGTATTATTGCAACACACATTTGTTGATATTTTTTAATAAAATTATGACGAGTTCTCTCGGATTTAAACAAAGATACACTTTCCACAGAGGACGATATCTTTCTTATTTTTGTCACATGTTGAAATATACAGGTAGCATCGAACTTCGAAATTTCGTTGATGTATGTTTATGGATAAGACAATGCTGCTCACTTATCATCAGCGTAACACAATTCCCTCAAAGACGAACATGTGTTTTCTGAATCTTTCATCCATGTGATGATTGTGCTTTACATATTCTGCATAAAGGTTATTTCCCTCGTGTATGTGTATAACTAAATGCTTGTGGTTTTGTTTTCATTTTGGCTTATAGCCCTTGCTTTAACTTGTAAGTAATATTGTAACAGCCTATATTTTATATTGTAAATAATACTGTAATGTTAAAATGTGTGTATAATAAAAATGCGGGACCTTGTGTTTTATAATTCACTTGTGTGTATGTGTAAACGTGGTCTCCCTCGCTATATGGCTGAAACAAAGTAGATGCGACATTAATCTTTATCTCACTCATGTACCAACTGTCATCCGTTGGCCCAAATCCTTGAATGACCTATTTCTGCTTAAACGAGTGTGTACAAGAGAGCCAATCTTCCACCGCAGACAATGTACATTGCAATAACCCTCTGTTATCTGCGGAGATCCTGTGAGGGGAAAGTGCATGGTACGTCTTAACTGCAGATTTTTTATCCTGGGGTAAGAGGATACAGGATTGCCGTACTAATTGATCAGACAGGATTCATCTCTAATTTTGCACTGGTCAGTGGAACACCTTTGTCTCATACTCATACAGATGGCTCCGCGGACTCGTTTGGCGGTGGACATAAGCCAAGACAATAATGAACATAACATTATTATACGTTTTTTTAGCAAAGGTCATTCACGGATATGCACTCGACATCTGGAATGAGTGAGTTAGTCTACTTTTACGCCGCTCTCAGCAATATTCCAGCTATATGGCCGCTGTCTGTAGATAATCGAGTCTGGACCAGACAATCCAGTGATCAACAGCGAAAGCATCGATTTGCGCAATTGGGAACCGATGACATGTGTCAACCAAGTCAGCGAGCCTGACCACCCGACCCCGTTAGTCGCCTCTTACGACAAGCATGGGTTACTAAAGATCAAAATTCTAACCCGGACATTCACGGGTACATCTGGAATGAGTTACTGGATTGTCGAGTTTTTTCGCAAAACTGATGGACGAGATATATCCCGAAATTATGATCGATATTTGATCGATAGATATGATCGATAGTTGTAGACCCTCAGACGGACTTGTGTTGTTGAGATCATCACTCACACAGATCTGTCAAAGACTAAGTGTGATGTAGTAGAGAACTGAATAGTTTTCACGGGCAGTTGCACCACAATAGGATAAAATAGGATAACATTTTATTATCCCGAGGGGAATTTTGGTTACATCGTAAAACACGTAGAACACAACATAACATGGAATCACAACATATCACATTTCAACAAGCATTAAGATAATAAAAAATAAATAGGTAAGAGCACTAAAAGAGTGAAAGAGTAAGATATGACTTAATGTAATGATGAGATAAAAATAGCAGTTGTGTAAAATGGTGTACATGAAGGTAAGATGATAAATGAATGAATATGGAGATTAACTGTTGTTAAAATAATGAATACAAAAGAATGACGCAACATTTTGTACTAGCTATTGGCATGCGCAGACGACGTCCCGACAGAAAAAATTCAAAATCGTAAAATAGAAAATGAGAACTGTCATCTACAATTTTCCGCTATTTTGTGACAACTTGCTGCTCGTAAAGAAGGACGATAGATGTTGCTAAATCTATGCCAATGATTTTGCGTGTTGCGCTAACAATTCTGCAGAGTTTAGTTTTGTTTTGAACGGACACGTTACCAAACGAACAAAGTAGGTTCAAATTTAAAATCTTTGTATTAATGTTTCGTAAAACATTACCATAAGACAACAATCAAGTCTAAACTTGTTTAAACGACGAAAGAAATACAATCTCTGCTGACCTTTTATGTATACTTAATCAACATTGTCATTCCAAGTTAGCATACAGTCAAAGATAGTGCCTAAATACTTGTATAAGTCACAATTTCAATTTCAAATTTGAAGTAGGTCCTAAAGAGGGAGATGATTTTTCTGAAATCTATAATCTTATCTTTGTTTTTTTAGTACTTAAAATAAAAACGTTTTCTTTACACCAATTTGTAAAAATCAAAACCTCATTCTGTAATCAAGGTAGGCAGACTTCAAAAGTGAAACCATTGCTGCGTCATCGGCAAATTTGATAATGAAACAGTTAGCTGTTTCACTGATACAATCATTGGTAAAAATAATAAACAATATGGGTGACAAACACATCCTTGTGGAGTTCCAGTGGACAGGTTGGTAACAGAGGAACTGATCCCATTTTCACTAACACAGTGAGGTTTATTAATCATAAAAGAGTCTACCATCTGATTAGATTACTGTCAGCACACATGTTTGACAGTTTTGACAGAAATAAATGTGGCTGAATGGTACTGAAGGAGGAGGAAAAGTCAGCGAAAAGAATCCTCACATATGATCCTCTATTTTCCAAATGTTTATAGATGAGATTCAGAAGAGTTATTGAAGCATCGTCTGTACCTTTTCTTTGTCGGTAAGCTCGTCACGATATGGCTGAAATATTGCCAATGTGACGTTAAATATTAACTCACTCACTCACTCACTCTTTGTCGGTAAGCAGTTTAGGAACATTTGACCATAAAACAGTTGTTTACTTTTGTCAAGCTTTTTCGTTTTCGTACACATGGTCCCAAGGGACAACAAAAAGTGTGTGTGTGTTGTCAGGAATTTATGCTTATTGTGCGAACAGGCTTTGGTTGACGAAGATCTGTTCAATCCCGGATCTTCACGGCTCTGCCAAATACGGTTTTACTCCCACTTTTTGCAAATGGGCAGTGTTAATCAACAGAGGGATTAGGGTATAGTCTGTATCAGGGTAGTGGGCACTGATATATATACTGAAAGGCAAAAAGAAACGTCGTAATATTAGAGATGACATGGAGTATTTTGAACCTATTTTTAAATATACACCAGAAGTCAAGTTTGAGGAAACATGAATCGTGGTCGTATAGCCTGCATTGCCCAATAAAGTATTGTTTGAGATTGAAGTTAGAAATGTTTTGGTTTTGGGAGGAAAAGTTCCCACAAACACAACATTGAAATCGAGATGCACGTGCATCATAAATGCATTCAGGCATAAATTGCCGGCTTGAATGGCAATCGTTCACTTGTTTTCTGAACACAGCAGCTATGACTAGGTTAACGAGAGATCAACCACAACAAGCTATTGGACGTCTGCACGCTGGTCAACATGCTCGAGTCATTGCTAATGACTTCAGTTGCAGCGTACGAACGATAGAACGTCTTAGAGTGCGATACAACGCCACCAGCAGCACTGATGACCGTCCACGTAGTGGTCAACCCCGTGTAACAACACGTCGCCAGACCGTCATATCGTCCAGCAACACGTGCAAGACCTATTCGCATGGGCCAGAGAAAAGCTTAGTGACCATAGAAACCACCAGCGACCAGTCAGTGACCTACCATTCGGCGACGTCTCTAAGCCAGGAACCTGTTTTGTCGATGTCCTGCCAGGAGACCCATATTCACCCAACGTCACCTCCGGGAACGTATCAAGTGGACACAACAGCGGCAAAACTGTTGTGGGGACAATGGAGAAGGATTTACTTCTCTGATGAAAGTCGGTACTGCATTTCAGTGGCGTATTATTTTTAAAAATAGGTTCAAATGTTCCATTGATACTTAAATGTCATTTCCAATATTACGAGATTTCTTTTGCCTTTCAGGTATAGTATAGTCTACTTAACTGTTAAAGTCATAAACTACATACTAAAAGAATTACTTAATTCATAAACTCGTATGTAACTGGCATTAACACAGAAAGACATAATGAGTTTGAAATAATAATTTATAAG